TGCCTGCCAGGATGCTGCCCGTCAGAAACGCAAAACGGCAGCTTTTCCAGAGGACGGATTCCGGATCTAGAGGGCAGTGCGGCAGCAAGCAACAAGATGTGGGTCGGCCTGTTGCAACGCCAGGGGCTCTACACCGCTGTTCTTCGATCTGGCACTCCCGTGGAGACCTCCACAGTCATAGCCAACGCAAAGGACAGCGAGGCGCAACCTGCTTGCCAACCAAGGTTCCAATTCTGTACCCGAGCGGTTTGGATACCCCACACACAAAGGTCGGTTGTGTTTGATTTTATGATGTGACAAACATCGCAGATTGCAGCGCTGCCCATCGATGCCATCGAAGCTTTGCTGGGATCTTTGGGAAATAAACCCGAGGCCTCCGGGACGTTCGCGAGTTGGAGTGGCAGATGTGGGCGGGGGAGTGGGGACGGGACACTCCAAAACCAATGACTGTTGCAGAGCACGCTTTGATCCTCAGGACCCTGCTGGGCTGCCAAGACATATGGACGCGTCTGTTGGGGGCATAGTGACAGTTTTTGCATGGCCATCGTGAGAATCCCTCGCAGAGGTTGTGTTTGTTTAATTGTGCCAAATACTGTACTGAGGTCAAGGTCATGGCAGCGGTACCAGGCTCTTTAGAGAAGAAGGCCCTTACCAGCCTTATCATAACATTTTTTAATTCATTCGATGCACAAGTCACAATTCCAACATCACAAGTTGATGTTGCCAGGGTGCCGCACTAAGTCCCAACCCCAGCTCCTGCCTGATCACTGCCTGCAGAACCACCTGTTTGTTACCTTTTCTTGTGAGGTGACATCATGAAATTCTTTGATTTGGTCCTCAACTTTCATGGGGATTCTGCCCGAAACCTACCATGTGATGCCTATATAGACCATGCTCAGCATAGACAGTAGATAGATAAATCTGCTGGACTCAGACCGACCCACGGCTCACCACGCAGCGAATCCTTACCTTGAAGGAACTCTGCGAGGTGGAGTGGTCGTGGAGTGGCTCCGGTGGTGGGTGTTTGTTGCCAGAGGAGACGAGTTGACAACTCTCTCTCTTCAGGGCGGCCGCTCAACATGCCTTCCTTCAAAGCTTGTGTGTTCACAGTCTGCAGTCTCCTCCAGGCGGCTGGGCTGCAGATCCGCTCTAAAGGTGTGGGCAACACAGGCACCAAGGCAAGCTCGACATGCAGAAGACTATATCGTAGTAAATTTTATAGGCATGCTATGAACTGTATTTACATATATATATATATTGTTTCTCGAACTTTGCCAGGCGCTTGGCCTGCTGTGCTCTACTGCCCCCTTTCACATCATGGCCTTGGCAATGGCAGGCTTTTGGGACGGCTGGCTGCGCGCAGAAAAGTATCAGGCCTCCCGTAGTCGAAAGGACCCACCCTCATTCTGTCAGGCTTGGGTGAGAAGGGTGAAGGTGATGACGCAAAGGCCTGCGTGCTGGCCCTGGAAGCATTGTTGGGTTGCGCTCTTTGTTGTACTGTGCTGTGACAGTCATAGTGCACGTAAGATTCATTCAATGCCTTAACTAGCCTTAACTGACTCCAATTTTGAGCAGCATTTCTCATTATGGTTGCAACACGAAAGTGTCTAAGGCCAACTTTATTGAGCGGGTGTCTCCGGCAATTCTGGAAGCGTTGCCATCAGAGCTGGGGCCTCGTGAGAGTGATGTAGTGTTGATGGTTGTACCGTGCATGGACAGCCGCAGTCTGGGACGTTCCGAGGCACTTAATCAAACTGGCCGAAGCGTGTGCCAAGTTGTTGCCCAAGGTGGGGTGGATTCCTTAGTCTTCCCACTTTGTGGCCTTCAAGGTCCAAAGCAGTTGCTGAGACTATACTCGCAACAGTGAGCAAAGCCTGCTCTGGAGCACCTTGGCAACTGATTGTTTTAAGCCTGGCTTGTTGGCTGGACCAGGGCAGAGTCTCTCCATTGTGGATCCTTTGTCCACAAAGTGTTGAGGCACTGCCCAGCTGGTCCATGGATGACGTCTCAAAGCTGTTGTTCGCTTTGGCCAAGGTCGAGCGGTTCGTTCGGGGGAGTGGCATCAAACTTGTTGTATGGTCGATTTCGGGCGTCTTGCTTTCGGCATTTTTGAGGTGAAAGTGGGTGACACCCCAGAGATGGCCGAGTTGTATAGCCGCGCAGCAGAGGCCAGAGCTTTGTACCAGTGCGCCTGACCGTTCCAGAGCGAAGGAAGGAGTTGACATACAACAAGTCGGTGATTTACGGTGTATGGGCACATTTATGACACATGCTTGGATTTGCAGATGCATCTATGTACACGCACGCATACAGAAACCCGACAGAGGTTGCTTCTGCGAACCTCTCAAGTGTCTCGGCCGCAATTAGACCTTGAACGATTTCGTCATTCTGGATGTGGAATTTTTGTCAAGTTTGCGATCCCATTTCTCACGCTTGTGTTTCGTTTGGTTGGCTCAGGATGCAAGCTTTGCAAGACACGAGACACGAGCATGTTGTAGATTTATATACTCACGCAACTGTGGATGACTCCCTCCAAGGAACAAGCGGGACTCTTGGGTGTATAAGCATTGTAGCATACTGTAGCCAGTATTGCCATTGCAACAGGTAGAGCCACACGTCTTATGCGCTTCAATTTGCAGAGATTCCATGCCAGCGGCAGCTATTGGCACCAAAGAGCGCCTCAGCAAAGATGCTGTGAGAAGGGAGCTTGCAGCTGAAGCCGCTGAAGCACTAGTCAGGAAAGCACTGGGAGCTAAAGAGGCTGGATGTGAATCAAGAGGCATATTTTCTGCAAGGGGTTTCAACACTTGTGATTGTGGAATCTGTGTATGTAGCTGTCGTCGTTTCCGCTCAGAGGCAATGGTGGCACAAGCTCGGGCCAATGCGGCCTTTGCTTTGTCTGTCATCGAAGACAGGAAGAAGAAAGAGGAGGAGAAGCACCTGATGGAACTGGCACTGGCAAGGGACGCCCTCGAAGATGCAAAAAAGCAAAGTGAGCTTCGAATTCAAGCAGCCGAAGCTAGCTTGCTGAAAGCGAAAGAAGAGGGACATGCCAGGCTTCAGGCAGCTGAGAAGAGGAACCTTGATGCAATTCAGATGGCCAAAGCAGCGTGTGTTGAGTCCATCACGCTCAGCCAACAGCGCATTGAGGATGCCAAATGTAGAACGGCACAGGTGGAGGAGCTTGTTCAGAGGCAAATAGCGGATGCTGAACAACGGCAAGCTAGGCAGCTTCAGGAAGCAGAGGAACGCGCAGTTCATATTGAAAAAGAAGCAGAGGAACGAGCTGAAATCGCGAAGCAAGTAGCGGCAGACTTGATGGAGAAGCAGGTTCAAGAAATGCAGCATTGGGTGTCACAAACGGAGGATGACATGTTGAGGACGCAGGAGCGTCTTGAAGCTGAGCGTGCTAAAGCTTACAAGCTGGCAGGTAATGTCTATGCCATGGCTGCCAACTTCCAACTCCGTGGCCAGCTCTGTGAACAGGGAGCTGAAGAAATGCTGGCAGCAACGAGCGAGGAGGTGTCAGAGATGATTCAAGACCATCGCCAGTGGCAGGCGGAGGAGATGGAATATGTGGCCTGCCAAGCGGATGGGCTACAGGGATTGGAAGATCTCGTGAGGCGGTTGAGACAAGATCCCATGCTTGAAGATGCGTGAGGATATCCTCAGTCCGTCGCTGGTGCTTGCATTTTGTTTCACAGGAGTGCTTGAACAGCAAGCAAAGCAAGCCATTAAAACATACACAGGTTGCGCCTCCTGGTCATTTTTAACATTGTGGTGGTGGCTGTGGTAGTAGTGGTCGTGATCATGGTCACGTTGTGGTTGTTGTGGTTGTGGCATGTGAAGCTCGACACGTCATGTAGAGTCTCTCATGTTGATGCATCTTCTTTCTTGTGAGATGAACCAGCTGCACCCAGCCAATCCAAGGCTTGTCCGAGACGCAGCTGGTCAAGGTGAGCAACAAGTTGTTGCCAACCCCTGTTGCCAACAATGTGCTGCCATTGTTGCCAAGAGGGGTGAGCTGGCACAGCATGCAGGTGTACAAAGCACTCGTGACTTGTGCCAGGTGGTGCTGACACTCAGCAGAGTTCCAGCTTGCAAGGAGCGAAAGGGGCACCTTCTTTCTAATTTTTGGATAATGCGGCGCCGAAGTCTGAAGTTTTAAGCCCCCGGTGGCCCTATGTGGCCCTAGTTTTCAAAAGAGGAGTTTGTGGCTACGGCTGCTGCTGAAGTTGCCGGGCCCCCACACCGAGGAGCTTGGAGTTGGGTTAGTGTTATGGTTTCTGAGTTTTCTCAGCGAATCAGGTCAATAAGATGTCCACCATAGCGGCACCTCAACTGCTGCTGCTGACACAGGGCATAGCCAGTTTAGGCTCGTGAACCCAAAGCTCGGTGAGGGATGCGTGGACCTGTAGAAATCAGAACGAGAGTGATTTGCCAGGCTCGGACAATGCATCTTTGATGAAATTGGCCAGCATCCGAGATTAGCCCTTTCCAATTGAAACTTCTAGTGCGCTGGTGCCCATTCCAAAAGACATAGTGCAGAGAAAGTGAAGCACAGCTTGGCCATGAAGTGACAACATTGCTCCTTTCTCATTTGCCAGGTGGAGTTTTGGGCCACAGACGAGGTGAAGTTGAAGCAACTTTCAGCTGACCAGCTGGCGAAACTCAGTCAGGCAGATCTTGCTTGCATGGTTTGTGCGAGAGGTGTCCCTAGTCTTTCAACATTGAAAGATTGGCTTTTTGCTCTTTACTGGAGTTTGACGCGAGGTGCTGGCTCCTGTGGTGACCAGACCTCAGTTCGGGGATGGCTCCAAAAAACCAATCAGGTCATACCATCAGGTCATAAGATCAAGAATGAAGGCCCTCCGAATGCTGCTGCCTGCCCAAGGCCGACACATGAAGGCCTATGGAAAGTTGCTGGTGCCAGACTCCTGGAGCAGAAGGCCTCCCTGGCCGATGCAGGGAAAGCCTCCGAGCCTTGGCTATGGGAGGCTCCTGCAAGACTTCCTGCAAGATTTCCTTCTCTGCCTAATTACAGCCTACGGGAAGCTCCTGGTGTGAAGAGTCTCAGCCGCTTAGTCCAGCCAAGGTGTTGGCAGCGTTCAGTGGAGAAGCACCAACCTTTGAGGACAAAGAGAAGCTGTTGGCAGCCGTGAAGCCGAGGCCACATTGTTTCTGCCATGCAGCACCGATGGAATGCTGAAACCCTCTGAACCTCAACAATTTCCTTGGCCGTCTATGATTTGGACATGTGGTTCCGCGCTCCCGAGCAAATGCTTCTTTCCCGCAGCCAAACGCCCAGCGGCCAGGGAAAGGGAACGCGAAAAAGATAGAGACAAGGACCAACGAGCAAGACGACAGCGGATCTTAGAAGCCCGTTCTGCCACTCTCTCTCTCTCTCTCTCTCTTCCCAGGACCGAGATGAAAGACGGAGCCGTGGGCGTCCGTTGCTTAGTGTTTTGTGATTGACTCGGGGCCAAGAGTCCGGGCATGTTATTTTTTTGTGGGTAGCTGCTTGCATGCGTGATGAAAACGAGCCTTTGACTTGTGGACGCGAGATGGCATGATGGCTTCTATCGATGAAGGATTTCGTGCACTCAGCTTCTCTTGGCAGGTGATGACCGCCGGGACCGGCGGGACGACCGGCGGCGCAGCCGGAGCCGGGATCGCCGGCGTGACAGCCGCCTCTTGGCGAAAGAGATGCAGGGATTCCTCAAAAGATGAGGCTTTTCAGGAATCAGAGTGCAGAGACGCAAACATTTGATGTTACACAAGAAGATTTGCAAGTCATGGTCACCGAATTTCCCTCGTGACCGTTCATCCTCCAAGGTGACCGCCGACGGCGATAGCCAGCAGGGGCCTCTACGGCTCCACAGCCAACCAAGTTATATATATATGACAAGTGTATAATATATCATACCATTTCATACAAATTGCTGAGCCTGGGTGATAAGGCCAATCTATTTGGAGTGGTCCTATGCATGTGAAGTGCGAAGCTGCACTTGAAAGATCATGGAGCAAAAGCTTGAATTACTTGACCAGACCTGTGATAACTTTGGACAGCCATGCTGCCATGGCCACTCTTGGCAAGCAGATTTATTTTGTTTATTCCTTGGAAGCTTGAACACCCGAACACAGGAGCTTGGCTGTTTGGTCACAGGGAGGTAGTTTTGATGGCATTTGCGAAGTCTGGACTGGTCACTTTCTGAGCTTATGCATGACCAGGGGAATGTTGTGTTTGAACTCTGTATGATGATGACTGCCTATGTTCAGATTGTCATTCCACTTTGCAGATGCTATTTATCATTACCCTCTTTCATCGCGGTTCGACGCGATATCGACAAGACAATGCCTCAAAGCATTGGAAAAAGATTGGCCTTGGAAGTGCGTCAGGCAGAGTGAAGATGGCTGTGTGCATCTACCCTCACCATGCGGCCTATGCGATATACTTTTGGCTCAAGGGAATTGACTGCATCTCAGTGTCTTTGCAGGCTTTAATGGGTCTAGCTGAGTCTAGCTCCTTTGCCTTGCCCTTGAGGATTGCGTTGCTTGCTGTTTTATTGCAAGGTCTACCCCAAGCCATGAAATGCAATTTTCAGCTGCAGCTGGGGCTCACGATCCTGGCGGAGCAGAAGGCAAGATAAAACAGTTGAGCATCTCACAAGCCAAGGATCCCAGAGAAGCCATGGTCGCCGCACTGCACAATGATGCAGCTGTCGAGCGAGCACTGTTGGAAGCTCGACTTGAGCATGACAAGGATCTGGATTTTTGTTTTGTCATATTGGATAGTGGCCTGGTTCCAGACTTGCCAGCTCCGTGGCTTTCCATTTGACATGGCAGTTTCCAACCCATGTTTCAGTTGTTGGGTTATATGGTGTTCTAGTTGTTGAGTTCTATCATTCCACAAATGACTGCCATTCATGTTGATTCTCCAAGGTAACCCAGGTGATTCGCGCACACGACACTGTTGGTTTGGATGGCGGAACATGTGTACCAAACAACAAGCTGCTGAGGCGAGCGATGTCATTGGGGTGCTGGTTCCCTGAATGCATTGCTCTCCAAGCACTTTGAGCAGACACGGGAAGGTAGGGATGCAGGGCTGATGGCCTAAGTTTTGAGAGGTCTTGAGTAGCATAGTATATGTGTGAACAAAATCTGGAAGAAAGGACTTGTGAGATTTTCTTTTCTTGTTTTGCCCTAGTTCATGTGGACTGATTTGTTTGGGTGGCACTGCGCATGCCAGTCAAGTTTCAATAAATCGCCAGCTCGGGGCCTGAACGCTTGGTTGCCAAGCCATCATGTTCATCCGTTAGCTGGCCGTGCTTTCGCAGTGATACATGGAAAAATATTGCTCGTCCTAAGTTGGTTGTAGCTGCTAGGTGTCCACAAGCCGATGCAGAGCTTGCGCCTTTTACTGAAGGTTGCCCTGAATGGGACGCATTAATGCGACTTTCTCAGTTTTGGACCCAGAGTGCAGTGCGCATCAGCCGAAACATTCTTGCGTGGAAATCATGACAAGGCTAGCCTGGTAGTCAGCAGATAGTGACTAAATGTGCACAGCTTCCGCCGCTGCTCGTATTTTCTTGCTTGATGGATCCGAGGATGTGGCTGCCATGGAGCCACAGGCAGTGAAGATTAGTGTCGTTGGTGATGGCCGTTGCGCGGCAGACATGTGGGAACTGGACTTGCACTTGGAGCCGATGTGTTTGTATGTGTGCACCTTGTCCACAAATATCATGAACTCATATGAACCCATGTATTTGATGTCGCAGCATGTGTGAAGGTGAGTCTGCCCTCATAGCCCCGTCACTTGTCTACACATGTTACGAGCATTCATGATGCTTTGCCTCGTATAGCTGATCAGCTTGATTCACGTATATGTATATATATATTTATACATAACAATCCACAAGTCACAAGCTGGATGGTCACAAGTTGGATGAGGGAGATGCATATAGACGGATTAGGAGCTGGTCCTGTGTGGGTGCTTTATGCCCAATGAGTGGGGCAAGCACAAGGCAACCACCCTGCACCACAGAAGCATCGCATGATCTCTGCAAGTAGCCATGGCGCAAGAGGAGCTGCAGGTCGCCATCGACAAGGCTAGGGGTTGAAGAAAACACCAAAGGATCTGCCAAAACTTAGGACCGGTGACAAGACTTATAAGCTGCCTTGGAGTGCCTTCGTTTGTTTTGCCTTTTCAATCACCATCACCCCCAGGCACACTGGCCAAAGAATGTACTGCGGGTGTTGATGCCTGCGCTGCGGAAATTGGGCGACTCCCATGGGCATATCATAGTCGCACCACAACCTGCAAGAGGCTGGATTGGCATCGGGCATGAAGCACATGCCCGGTGATGTACAGTGCTGTTTAGTGGCATGTGCCAGCAGTGTATTTTGTGGGCATGACTGAGCTGTCCAATAAGAACAATGCATTGCAGGAATTATTCATTTGCAGGGTGCTGCGAAACACATCGAAGCAGCGAAGCCTGGACTGCGAGCCCTCATCGAAGAGCATTTTCCGGAGGCCGACATCCCCAAGGAGCTCCTGAAGCCCAGTGAACTGCCTGAGGCTCCCGAGGCTCCAGAGATGGGTTCCGAGCCTGAAAAGTCCGCTGAGCAGATGGAGAAGGAAGCGCCAAAGGAGGTCGACTCTCCCCAGGTCTTGGCGACAAAAGCCTTAAAGCGCGCCTATGCTACGCACAGTGCCAGCGCCATGCGAATTGCTTTGGGTGCTGCGTACTCTGCTGGGGTGGGTCAAGCTGCGCTGGAGGAAGGTGAGCGTTGGTTGAAGGCCAGCGGATGCGGATGAGAGGCGTTTGATATTATTGAAGGTCTCACTCGAGCGCCTCATCGCCCTTCCAGACATGTGCATTAGGCGGCAGGCCTCAAGTAGTAGCATTATATATCAGTTCTCAGGGTAGCCGAGCAGTTGATCGGGGCCAGACCAAGATTTCTGGTGCTTTGAGCGTTTCGATCACGTGTTGCATTTGTGCAAGGAGCTCACAGCTGCCGCAGCATTGGGTGTGGTTTTGCAGAAGGATGCCTCCATCCAAGAGCTGCAGGCAGCGCTGATGGCAGCCCGTGAGGCTTGCGTCGACGAAGCCCGGCTTGAAGAGGCAGAACTGCAACTGGGTCGCTTGGAAACCCAAGAAGCCTTAGTGAAGGCGCGGCTGATTTGATCCAAGGTTTTGATGAGTTTAATGAGAAACTTCTATATAATTCTTGAGAACAGCTTTGGGCTTTGGGTCAGCAACGCCCTGAGGCCATGGGGGGCAGTGAGGCCGAGTTGCGGGAGGCCTTGGCGGCTGCACGTGCCTGTGGCTCTGATGTGGACATCCTCGCGGAGGCAGAGGCACGACTTTGCACTTTGGCTGCGGAGACTGAGCTGCTCAGCGCCATGGAATTGGTGCAGTCCTTGGAGATGTCTGGTGCAGTAGATGAGGAGCTTGGACCTGGAACTCTGAACCCACTTTGTCACTAAGCCATCTCAGGTAGACTTCATGTTTGTAAGGAGTTTGAATTAGGAATGCAAGGGTGCGAGTGTCAGCGTGCCAGGAAACGGAGGTTGTTTTCGCGGCTGCTGTTCGAGAGGCCGAGACTGCAGCAGTATCGGGGCCGCTTTTAGCAGATGCAAATGTGCGGCTGGCTCGCCTGGCAGCTCAACGTGAGGCAGATGGGACACCATTGTGTTGAAGCATAGTTGCCAAGAACGATGTGAGTTATCACGGCTGCTGCGAGCTAGAGTTGACTTTGACGGGGATGATGGGCGAGTTGTCAGGTTGAGGCATTCAAGAATAACATTCATGTCCAATGTCACAATGCAAAACGTGTCTCGCCCCCCTGCCGCTGGAGGCGCAGTTGAGTCAGAAGCGTGCTGCAACCGCGGAGGTGGACAGCAATTCAAAGCGTCAAAAAACACAAGAGACTGAAGAGAACGGAGAAGGTGATACCGGTGTGACTGATGGGAACGCGCTCCAAGAGTGGGCGCGGAGCTTCTGAGCAGCAAACTGTGCAAGTACTCTGTTACAAGCAGCAAATTGCTCTAGACTCAGTAGCTCAATCGAGCATGGCACTAAGCACGGCTTGTCTAAGGCTTGCTGGAATCTGCTTTGCTGATTTGCTGCAAGCGAAATGCGGTTGAGGCGGAGGACTTTCCGGGCAAATGCAGAACCTATTGGAACTTTGCACGTGCCAGAGTCTAACGGCTTCGGGACCCCAAGATCGCCATCTTCCAAAACTGCGGAAAACCTCAACAATGCCCTGATATTATTTTGAGATATCCTACATGTGACTGTATACTGTGTACCAGCATGGAATGCTATTCTCACCTTCCTTCCGGCACGTTGTTTCCTCAGGATTTCGACTTGGCGCTGGCCTTAAAGCAGCAAGAAGCTGCTGTGGGCGATCGTGTTCAGAAAGTCAAAGAGAAATGCCAAGCAACTCCTGACGATTTCGCACAGCTGGAAGAGGTGGGACTCCACTGGACCCGGACCTGCTTGATCATCACATGCGGGGGGGGAGAAGAGATGCCTATTTATGATACTTTCTCAGGGTGTTACACAATAATGACGTTATGGCGATTTTCTTGGAAAGGGACGGTGGCTTTCATGATCGGTTCTCTCTTTTGCGGACAGGATGTTGTAAAACAACAAATTGAGCATGCTGGTAACAAGGTTTGTATCTGTGTGAGGTGCGACGGCAGAAGCTTGAGGCAGTGGAAAAGGAGGACTATGACCGTGCAATGGAGCTGAAAGAGCTGGAGAAGCAGCTCCAGAACCGCAGGCTGAGTCTTTTTTCTGAATTCAGAATCCCAGTGAAGGTTTCAGAGTTTCTACCTGAACCACTTGGGGTTTCTTTGCAATTACTTTTCCCTTGCTACTTATGCTTGAAACAAAGTCAGTCGCTTGGACACATGTTTGGAGGCAATTGGAGGAGGTCCACGCGATTGCTGCAGCTGCGAGGCTTCTCAGTGATTCTCGCCCAGAGGCCGGGTACTTTGCTGTGTTTTTCTGTTTCTTCAGTTTCACTGAAGGCCATCGCTAGTAGGTTGGAGGCCATCGCTCTTAGGTTGGAAGCCATCGCTACTCGAAAACAAAGACAAAAGAAAAAGGAACCATTTTTCTTTTTCTTCAGTTTCATTTGAAGGCCATTGCCAAGCTCCAAACTGCTGAGGACTTGCTGCCTGGCCTCCTTCCGACCTTGGCTGACCAAGCCAAGGCAGCGCCAGAGCTGTGGCATCAGGTGGCAGAAGAATTGCGGAGAACCTAAACAAGGGAAAGGTCTAGAAACTTGGATCCAGGAGTTCTTTGTCAATCTTGCATGCCTCACACACTGCCAGCATAGAAATATGTAGTGGATTGTAGAGGTCTTATTTTTTTGGGCACCACTTAGGATTGAGCTGTGGCACAAGCATCAATGCATGCGAGCTTGTGAAGCTGACGTGGAGCTGGAGGAGTCCGACATGGCCAAGCTGAACTTCTGAACTCGTCAAGTGACAGCCTTTCTGCGCGAGAAAGCTATCAGCGAGTGGAGTTGGCGCAGACCTTGGGCCCCCCAAAGATGTCTCGAAGTAGGCAGCTGTGCGTCACATCTTGCCACTAGCACTCCAGCACTCTAGGACTCTAGCACCTTCAATTAAGTCAAAGCTAAATTGTATTTGGGAAGGTTGAAAGCAGTGGTGCTCCGCAGTTGGTTCAGAAGTTGCAAAGCCATTTCCAACATGCTCGATGATTCCAGCCAAGCTGCCATCAGAGAACCTCAGCTGTGAGATGGCACTTGTCGCTTTGTCCTGCTGAGTGTGTACCTCTAGGAGAAATCGGTGATTTATGCTGATTTATGCACCTCTACTCAGGCGATCCTTCAGCAAGAGCTGGCCGCAGTGCAGAGGAATATACTTGAGGAAACCAGGACAGCCATGAAGCACGGTGTGAACTCCTGCAAGTAAAGTGCCGCCAGTCAAACCAATGAACATTAAAGCATGATGCCTGGGACAGGAAAGAACTCAACAGTATTCGGGGCGCTCTGGTTGGGACAAGCTTGATCCGCAACTTGAGGGAATCAGAGCATTTCAATTTCTTATCAAACAGCAGTGGAGTGGTCACAAAATGGGAGATCCTCCGCACAATGTTTCGTTGGATGTCCCCATGCTGTTGCAACATGTGTGACCAGGTAGCAGCGTTGCAGCAAAGGTGACCCAGATGCACGTAGCTGTCCCACCTTTTGCCCCATCTAGTTTCCAAAAGTTCTTTGTTTTTGGACGGGCCGTCACATGCCTAAAGTGGTGAGGTGAGGGGGGCCATTTTGCGCTATCATTCCGCTTGAACGACTCATGACGACTCATCCCGAGGAATTTGTCCCTTTTGTGCTACCGCAAGAACAAGGCCGGCAAAGGCAGTTGCACAAACGTCGATTGGCTGTATGCTGCAAGCGACGTCCTGTCGGCCACTCTCAGTCGCCTTTTGCGCCAGACCCGCCACCGGAAGTTGATGGCAGTGACCATTCTGTTGATAGCCTAGGCAGCTGGAATGTTTCCTGTTTATTAGAAACAAGAAGCTACTAGGAACAGGTGCATCGCTACTAGTAACAAGTGCCTTACTAGTAGTAACAAGAAGCTAGTAGGAACAATATATAGAATTTAATTCTTGGTATATAATGTTTCCTGTTTTGGTGGAATTGTGGTTGAGTTGGTGCTCCCGCCAGCTCGCCGTCCCCCAAAACAGATTTCTGCATTGGAGCCTTTCGCAGGAGACGAGAACAGAGAGCAGAATGATCACTGCGATCTGAAAAGCAACGTCAGTTGCACAAGCACAGCGAGACGGACTCCCAACAAAGCAGCCCCTTGGTACGAGCATGGCGGTTAGTCTTCTATTTCTCAACGGTAGGGGTTGCTTTTCTGGACGGAAGTAGAGGTCATGATGCCAGGCTAGCCTTGTAAACCGGCTCTAGAGCCTCAAGTGGCTTTGACAAGGCATGATTGAGAAGAATCGCTGTGCACACGGCCCGGCACAGGTTGTACAGGATATTTCGAAGGTCATCGATGATCATTTGACAAAGTCTCGATCAAGACCTGCAAAGACGCAGCTGCAAAAGTTAGTGAGGACTGAGGTTGTCGAAGGAAAGCTGAAGCTTCAGGCTTTTCATGCCATTCATGCCATGCTAGCTTCTGGCTGCACGAGCACATCGAATTCAATGTGGCAGTATAAACCGGCTATGAGAACATTTGAGAATGCTGTGCTAGGAGCCAGGGCTTCGAAATATTTTTTGCGCTGGTCGTGGTCATCAATGCCGTTATCGTTGGAATCCGTGCAGATGCTCGGGCCAAATTGGTGGCTGTGGGCTGTGTGCATAGAGCAACTTGTTGTCTCTATATTGACAATCTCCTTGTGCCGTTCCTTTCGGGAAGGTGACCTTGGCAATGTCAAGAAGACTCGATTTAGACTCAAACAGCCAAACAGCTGTCTTTCCCGCCAAAGCATTGACAGCAAAAAAACATGCAAATGCCCACCTGCCGGCTTGCAGGATGCCGGCCCCAACGACCACTCGACAGGCTTGGATGTCATTGAGCTGCTCATTGGATTGCTGCTCCTTACCTGATGACCATGTTCGATGAAGGTTTACGATGAAGGTTTCCCGTGAATCCCATATCTTCTCATGTGCATGATGAATGTTGCTTTCCGGCATCCAGCGACCAAGGTTTGTAGTTGAACTTGGACTTCGCTTTGCTGCTTCAGGTGCTGGCTAGTGAGTGATTTGGGTGGCTAGCAGCTGCCACCATTTTTTGGTTGGTACCCATTCCGGCAAACACCGGAAGAAGCTCCAAAAGGAGACTTCCAGGAAGCTCAGAGAAGCCTTCCCTAGGCCCTAGTTGATTTCCGGTTGTTGATGGTGCATGTGGCACATCGAGATTCGGACTGGAGCAAGAAACACTTTTGAAGTATATAACTGATCCTTCAGAAGTGACAAACGGCACAGTGGAGTTCCCTCCTTGACTCCTAAACTCTGAGGATTGACAAAGGCTAGCACATTTTTTGTGCAGGCCTTGCCTCCTAACACATTTGACCCGCCCAATGCAAAGAAGGTCAGTCTTCCACTTTGAAGGACATCAAGTAACATTTTTCCCACGCTGCGGTTTTTTAGGGTTCTATGGTTGAAGGGTGCAGTAGCGGTCCGCGCTGAAGTGTTGTCAAGCAGAGAACATTCTGAAACGGGTGCTATTAGGGTGGAGGCCATCGCTATTACTTGAAGTTTCCTGTGTAAAGTACACCTCATATGTATAGACACAGTTCATGAACATTTGTACTTTTGGCTCAAGTGATAAAAAGGCCGCAGCCGCTGCCACTTCGCGGACACGGCGGTCTTTACTGAGAGTTGGTTTCTTGTTGTTGTTTGTGTTGGTGTTCCGTTTTCCAACGGTTCAAGTGGTTATCAGCCGTATCGGCTTTTGATTGCTTTTCGGTTTCTGTTACAACACAACAACATCTTTCATTAGTGTGGTTGCGGGGTCCACAGAAAACCCGTGCATGTCAAGTCGGCGTCCTCGAGAGCTTCCCGTTCGCCACTGCGTCGGCCGTGGCGGCCTCCTGAGCCGCCAGGGCCGCCACCGAGGAGGCCACCAACGCCTCCGGACCCTCCGAGGCGTGGCATTCGAGGAGGAGCTGCCGCCCGGCGACGCAGGGAAGCGTACATTGTCAATTTGGGAGGCGATCGAGAGACGATCCCGGTTGTTCACGCTGGCGGTCAGAGAAGGCCACTTGGAGCTTCTAGGTTTTGGGAGCCGAGTGCAAGTGAGGCTGAATCGGACGAAGTTGAGATTGTTGCGCATACATCAGCAGTTGATTTGACTTCGTTGCAGGCTGAGCATCTTGTGCCGCGTTCAAGGCTCTACAATCCGTACGTCTTCGATCATTCGCCTGGCTCGTCAAGTTTGGCTGCGGCCCCAAGGCCTGTTCCGAGTCGAGCGGATTCGAGTGTTGTTGACACGCCTGCCGGAAATCGGCCTTACGACATCCTCAAGTACTACCACCCGGCGCCTGGAGTCGTTCTTCACCCGTGGTCGCGAGTTGACATTGTTTACAGAGAGGCCTTGACTTTTCCGTCTTCAGCCAAGTTTTACGTGTGGGCGAACGGTGATACGTTGAGGCTGGCTGCAGAAAGGCCGAATCACTGGGGCTCTGATCCGGTGATTGCATTGGACTACCATCAGGTCCTTGACGTTGATCGGAGTGTCAATCCTCCGGATCGTGTGGATCATATTGGTAATCTGCCTGCGGGCCACGTTGCAGCAGTTCGTCGCTTGCGAAGGGAGATTGAAGAGGTCGGCTTGCGTTGTCGAGTGAAGATCATTGTTTTGTCGCACATTCACGACAGTGTGGTGAACGAGAGGAACTTGATCACTGCAGTACAACAGAGTTCATTGTCGGTTGATTGTGTGATCATCACTCGTGAAAGGACGGGCTCAGGTGGAAAGTTTGAGGTGCTGAGATCGTTGACTCGTGGTCAGGCTGTGATTTTGGACGACAACGTTGAGGTGCTGCGTGAGTTCAGTGCGGCGAGCCTCATCGCTATTCAGATTCGCAAGCCTCGGGTCGGAGCGATTTTTGACGAAGAGCAAAGGTCTTGGAGTTTTTCAGCATCTTGGTTGGTGGATCGTCTGGTGACTTTCGTGCATCACCATTCGAATCCAGTTGACGAGGAAGAGTGAAATTGCATCGAAGCTGCTCCGGTCCGGCTGCTTTGAGCGCCGCGGAGCTTCGTTCGTTAGGCCAGTTCCCGAAAGAGCCTGTGCCAATTGTGCATTCGTTCCCGCCGAAAGGAAAGAAGGGTTTGGGAGAGTTTGGATAGTTGGCCAGTGAATCATGTCAGAAGAGCAATCTTCATCGTTGAATGTCAGTTCAGATACTACTGTTGGTGGTTTGGCAGTTGCTGTTCGGAGCAGGTCCCAATCCTCCCATGGTTCCGGAACACCCCATGAGGGAAGGAGATCAAAACCTCCAAAGAGATCTTTGAGCAGAGTCATCAAAAACATGCCCAAAGGTAATCAGTCCCAGGTTCAAGCAGAGGGGTATCAGTGGTTGAACCATCCATTCCTGCGCTCACTGACCTTCGGTCCTTGCCTTCGTCCAGTGGGTTGCTCCAGCGGTCGGTTGGTCCATCCGAGTTCCAGGGTACCGGAGAGGAAGATGAAGTCATGCCTAATCAAACTAGCTTGACACAAGAATTGCACCTTCGTGACGCCGGGTCTTTTAACACGGTCCAGGTGGCATATGTTGGTATCGATCATGCAGAGTTCGGTCGTGTTGTAGCTGAGTCTCAACGACTGATCGGGGAAGCGGACTCTAGAGCTTCGCACTTCGAAGGTGTCGCTCAACAAGTCTTCCAGGAAGCCACAGCTCACATCGGTCACCTGACATCCCTGGTCGAAGAACTCCGTAGTCACATTGAAATGCTCCAAACAGGTCACACCGAGAAGGATGTCATGATCAC